CGCCTTTAATCCCACCACTGGGGAGGCAGAGGCAGGTGGATCTCTGTGAGTTTGAGGCCAGCCTGGTCTACAGAGCGAGATCCAGGACAGGCACCAAAAAAAAAAAAAAAGACAGCCAAAACTGACCAGCCAGAGACAGCAGTGCAGAGTTGGGAGCTGACTGCATCCCCAAATGTTCATTTCAGCAAATATTTAAGCAGAAAGCCCACAAACATCTGTGCCAAGTTAAAGTTTCATTTTCCAGCAATCAGGATCCAGGAATAGAGACTTTCCTAGGAACATTGTTCTGTGATGCTCTTACCTTGTTCTCGTTGGCTGGTTCATTCAGGCGTGATAGGGTGGCTTGTCCACCCTTCAAGTCTCATCCTGCCCACCAGGATGTCAGTGTTATCCAGGGGGTCTGGGGAGGTCTGGGGAACTTAAACTTTATTTAACCCCCGCTCAGGATGGAAGTTTTATTCAAAATGGCTTCAGTTTGGTTCCTTCTTACAGGCCAACATATCTGTCTCTCATTCAGATACTTTTCTTTTTTTAAGGGTTTTATTTATTATGTATACAGTGTTCTGTGTGTATGCTTGCACACCAGAAGAGGGCGCCAGATCTCATTACAGATGGTTGCGAGCCACCATGTGGTTGCTGTGAATTGAACTCAGGACCTCTGGAAGAGCAGCCAGTGCTCTTAACCTCTGAGCCATCTCTCCAGCCCAAATGATATTTTTCTAAACAGGTTTCTTTTCTTTTATGTTCTATTTTTTGAGACAGGCTCTCTCTCACTCTGGTTTTTTTGTTGTTGTTGTTGGTGGTGGTGGTGCTTTTTTGTTTGTTTTGTTTTGTTTTGTTTTGTTTTGTTTTGTTTTTTTAGGGGTGTGTGTGTGTGTGTGTGTGTGTGTGTGTGTGTGTGTGTGTGTGTTTCTTGATTTTTCGAGACAGGGTTTCTCTGTGTAGTTTTGGTGCCTATCCTGGAACTAACTCTGTAGCCCAGGCTGGCCTGGAATTCACAAGAGATCTGCCTGCCTCTGCCTCCCGAGTGCTGGGATTAAAGGCCTGTGCCACCACCACCCGGCTTCTCTCTCACTCTAGTATCTCAATCTGGCCTTGAATTTGGGAGTTATCAAGAAGATGACCTTGAATTCCTCATCTTCCTGCCTGGACCTGCAAAGTGTTATGATAATAGGCACATGTTACCATTCCCAGATTTATGTGTTTCTTTTTTCCTCCAGTAAAAAGAAAAATTGTTTTGTTTTGTTTCTTTGTGTAACAGTCCTGGCTGTCCTGGAACTCAATTTGTAGACCAGGCTGGCCTTGAACTCACAGAGGTCCCAAGTGCTGGGATTAAAGGCATGTGCCACCATTGCCTAGCTTTCTTTTCTTCTCCTTCCTGTCTCTCTCTCTCTCTCTGTCTCTCTCTCTCTCTCTCTCTCTCTCTCTCTCTCTCTCTCTCTCTCTCTCTCTCTCTCTCATTTGAGACAGGATCTCCCTACATAGCTTTGGTCTCAGAACTTGCTCTGTAGACCAGACTGGCCTTGAACTCACAGAGATCTGCCTGCCTCTGCCTCCGGAATGCTGGAATTGAAGGTGTGTGCCACCATGCCTGGCTCCCCCCAGTAAAATTTAATGCCTACACATAGCTAAATGCTTATTAATACAAATAGTTAAATATTTATTAATATATCTTCATATACCCTTCTCTCTCTCTCTCTCTCATTTTTTTTTTTTTTTGAAGCAAGGTCTCATGTAGCCCAGGTCGCTCTTAAATTCACTATGTAGCTAAAAGTAACCTCGAACTTCTGACCCTCCTTCCACAATCTCCAGAATGCATGACTATGGGATCATAGCTGTGCACCACCACTCCTGGTTTATACATGTGCTGGGGATCCAGTGCGGGGATTATAGCACGATAGGCCAGCATTCCGCCAACTGGGCTACATTCCCCAGCCCCTGAATCTCCTTTCTGATACATGAAAGTTTATCTTTATCAGATCCTTTTTAGTTGTAAAATATATGTAGCATAAAATGTGTCATTTTAAGCATTTAAAATATACAGGTCAGTGGCACTGAATACATTCACATTGTTGCTATTATTACCATTCATCACTAGAGGGTTTTTAAAAAAAATAAAAATAAAAACAAGAAAAAAATTTTTTTAATTCTCAGATAGATTTGGGGTGGGGTGGGGGGAACATCAGTCAAAAATTTGTGTAACTATAAAAATTGCAGAGCCAGGTTAAACAGACACAACTAAAGAAATCGGGCCCCTGGAAAAGTCTCCTTTAATCCAGCAGACAGGCAAAGCTGTAGACAAGTGTAAGGAGCAAGGAGGCTTAGCATACATAAACTTGGAATCACACTGGAACATAAAAACGTAAGCACGGAATCGTATATCCTGCAAATCTATTTTTTCAAGGAGTGAAAATAGTGAAAGCAGACTTCATCTCCAACAGACTAAGAAATTCCTAACAGATGCAAACTAAGATTTTGCAAATTCTGAGATGCAGCAAGAAGAGGAAGTTTTCCAGCGTATTCAACCCAAACCTGTGAGCATCTTACTAAAACTCACGTTGATGAGAGGGGCAGCTCTTTCATTCCAAACAGCATCTGCCAGGAGGGCTTCCACCTCTAGGCATATGCCTGAAAGGACCGGAATCGGAATTCAAACAGGTACAATAGCATTCACAGCACCATCACGCATAGTTCCAACAGGAGAAAACTGCCCAGTGTCCAGAATGGATGAGTGGATATAAAAGTGTGGTATACAGCATGCTGGAATATTTTCAGACTTTACCAATATTATTTAACCTTAATAAAATTCTGAAACAGCCCATAACATAATGAACCTTGAAGGTACTGTGCTGAATGAAGTCACCCAGCCGTCTCACAGACAAATGGCATATTGTTCCTCTTTATGAGGCACCTGAAGTGTTCGGATTTACAGAGAGAGAAAAAACGTGGTGGTTTATGGGGCCTGAGGGGAAGGAATGGGGAATAACTATGAAATTGTTCCAAGTGTTAGCTTGGGATTAGATCTTCCTGTAAGAGACTGAATGGTAGGGCTGACTACCCAGTTTTTTCAGCCTCCGGCCATAATCGTGCCATGGAGTGATAAAATACAGGCATCTTTTTTCTACTTTAAATTCCTTTTTAAATTTAATATTATGTGTATGAGTATTTTGTCTGCATGTATGTCTGTAACCACATACATGCCTGGTGCCCACAGAGAACACAAGAGGATGTCAGATCCCCTGGAACTGGTGTTAAATACAGTTGTGTGCCACCATGTGGGTACTGAGAAGAGCAACCACTACTCTTACCTGATGAGCCATCTCTCCAGCCCCTACCTAAGATTCTTTTTTGCTTATTTATTTTGAGACAAGGTTTTGCTATGTAGCCTTGGCAGGCCTGGAACTCCTTATGTACACCAGGCTGGTCCTAGAGGTCCGCCTGCTTCTGCCTTCTGAATGTGGGGATTAAAAACGTACACCACCATTCCTGTTAGTCAACACTCTGACAATCCAGAGTCCTGAAAAGCCTTCATCCAGAGCATATGCTTGTCAGGACCATGAATTGGAGTATTTGCATACAGGCGGTACATTCGAGGGAAAGAGTGGGAAGCCCTAAGGTGATCCTATCTATGGACACCATAATGGCAGTAGCCCTACAGCAGGGGCCAGCACACCCGGCCTGATTGCGGTGCCCTGGGAGAGATCTAGAGCCTTCCAGCTCCACAGAGCAGTTCACAGAGCAGACAAGTCCCTACCAATGTCAAGAACAGCTGTGAATAATGATGTGAGCAAGAATTCAGAGAGGGGGGCCCTTCAGTGCATGGCTGCATGTGTCACACCTTCCCCAGCCTCCTGCACCACAGGCGGACTTATACAGCCCAGAGGCATTTGTAAAAGAAAATAAGCTAGTTTGAGCTTAGGGGGAGGGCAGCTTAGTGGTTAAAACTCTCCTCATGCAAGCATGAGGACCTGAGTTCAAATCCCCACAACGCAAGAGAAATTGGGGACAGTGCCCCCCCCCCCCCCCCCCCCCCCCGTGTCTGTCATCCCAGTATTCCTACAGTAAGATGAAAAGGCAGAGACAGGAGAATCCTGGGACATCCGCAGGCTAGCTAGCATTGTGCACACAGCAGAGAACATCTCAAACAAGGTGGAAGATGAGGCCAAACACCTGAGGTTGTCCTCTGTCCTATATACGCACGCACACCGTTACATGCACTCCACCCCCACATACATGGACGTGCACACACATAAATACATTTTAAAAATGAATAAGCAAGCCAAACATGGTCGCACACACCTTTAATCCCAGCACTTACTCTAGAGGCAGAGGCAGATGGCTCTCTGTAAATCTGAGGTCAGCCTGGTCTATATAGCAAGTTCTAGACCAGCCAGGGTCACACAGAGAGACCGTGTCTCGATAAAAAAAAAAAAAAAAAAAAAAAATTTAAATAAATAAATAAATGTGGGCTAGCTTGGTGGAGTAGAACCAGGTTCTAAGCGATTTCCATACCTACTTGGCCAAGGTACTTAAACTGTAAATGCTTGGGTTTCCTTGTCTATAGATAGGTAAATAAGGTTGATCTGTATGTGTACCTGGCCCAAGGCAAGCCTTATTTGAAGCTTTACGCATGATCTTAGGAGAGTTGAGTCTAAGACCATAAAACGCCCATCCTCCCTTCTGCCCAATACGGTTGCTGGAACACAAGAGTTCCAAGAGAGACTGGGCTGTGGTGGGGAGCCGATTGTGCCTCCCTGGATGGTGAGGTCTCTTTTTGTGGCACACCCAGTGCCCAGTGATTCCTAAGGTGGAAGCAGTTCAAGGCAGGTGCCCAGCAATGAACAGCCCCAGGTTTTCAGTTGCCCCACCCCAGCGGGCGGGCGGGACCGCTGAAGTGCCCTTTGCCTTTAAGAAGGAAGTTGTTCAGTCACTCATTCAAAGTAGGGAGAGCGACCTGGGAAGCGGAATTCGGGGCCTGGCCCTCCGCGCCTTGACCAACAGATCACTCTCTTCGCGGGTCCTGTCTTCCTCTCGGTCCTGTCTTTCTTCCTCTCGGCCCAAACCCCCAGCCGTAGGCGGCAGCGTTCCCGCTCTTTCTCTGCACCTAACTCCAGGCAGCCGCTAGCTCCTGATGTCTTCTGGCAAGTTATGGTGAGTGGGGCGTGAGTGATGGATCCTCAGTCTCCCGCACACCCACACAGGATACCCCGGGACAGACTGAGGACGCCTTAGCCGAGGCAGGGGACTAAGCTGGGGGGCCAGGTGGCCCGCGGGGGGAGGCTGACACGCTGCCCACGCGCAGTCGCGGAGCTTGGGAGACAGGATGCGCTGACGTGGGGGTGGGCCCCCTACTGGACGAGAACCTTCTCTCAGGCCCTCTGGTGCCTCGGCCTCTCTCGTGCCCTGTGATGAACTGAAGAACCCGAAGTTTGTGGGCAAAGGCGGGTTCGGTGCAGTGTTCCGGGCACAACACAGAACATGGGGCTACGATGTGGCAGTCAAGATCGTGAACTCGTGAGTGACCCCAGCTCTAGGCAAGATCTGATCGAGGGGCCCGAAGGGGCGGGGAGAGGAGAGTTTCTCCAGGGTCCGTCCCAACTGCGGCTCCCTTTTCGGAGTGTAGGGAGGCGATATCCAGGGAGGTGAAAGCTATGGCGAAACTGCGTAACCAGCACGTGCTGCTCCTGCTGGGGGTCACCGAGAACCTCGAGTGGGACTACGTGTCTGGGCCGGCTCTGGTGACAAGATTCATGGAGAACGGCTCCCTCGCAGGGCTGCTGCAGCCCACGTGCCCTCGGCCCTGGCCGCTCCTCTGCCGCCTGCTGCACCAAGTGGTGCTGGGGATGTGTTACCTGCACAGCTTGGACCCAGTGCTCCTGCACCGGGACCTCAAACCCTCCAATGTCCTGCTGGACCCTGAGCTCCACGCCAAGGTCAGCCCATCTATACCCTAGTGCAAGTTTGGGAACCATGTTGAATACCCTCGGTCTGTCCCTCTGAATACAAGACTACCCAGGTCAACTAGGAATTTTATCTCTAGCCATACCAGGGACAAAGGCCCTCCTTACCCACCTGGGTCAGTTCCACAGGCCTATTCCACAAAGCCCCCATGGACCCAGGCTGACTTATCCCAGAAACTCTGACATACCTAGACCCAGGCCTGCCCATCAGCAACTTAGATCTCTTCCCCGAGGTCTCATTGACTCTACCTTTCCCTCTGGTCCTCCATCTTCAAAAAGCTGAGGCTGCATCTGCTGGAGGAGACAGAGGGAAAATTCTGGAGAATTTCTGGCCTGCTTCACCCGATACCTCCCTCTTCCTTTCCTTTACAGATAGCAGATTTTGGCCTGTCCACATTTCAGGGAGGGTCACAGTCAGGGTCAGGGTCCAGGTCCAGGGATCCAGGGGGTACCCTAGCTTACTTGGCCCCAGAGCTATTGGTTGATGTCAACCAGAAGGCGTCCCCGGCCAGTGACATCTACAGGTAAGCTATCCACCCCCAAACATCCCAAATGTCTACGCTTATTTGCGCCCTTTTCAAGGATGTGATATGGGAAAGTGGTCTTGCCAGGGGCCAGCTAAGCCTCCACTTTGTGTCTGTGCAGCTTCGGGATCCTCATGTGGGCCGTACTGACTGGAAGAGAAGCCGAGTGTAAGACTATACGGACTCTGAGACTCTTACCCTAGGTGCCCTAAAACCCTGAGCCCTTCCACCCTTCCCTACTGAGACTGCCCTCTTCCCGCCTCACCCCTTCCTTGGATGACACTCGCTGCTGCCTCTGTCCACGATCTGTCTCCTCCCATCATGAATTCCTTTTGCTATCGCTCTCCCCCCACTCCAGTGGTAGACCATACATCCCTAGTTCATGGCGCAGTCTGTGAAAGGCAGAATCGACCCCCATTGTCAGAGCTGCCTCCATCCAGCCCTGAGACTCCTGGCTTGGAAGTACTGAAGGAGTTAATGGTGCGCTGCTGGCGTTCTGAGCCCAAGGACAGGCCATCCTTCCAGGGTGAGATGGCTATTTTTCTAGCAACTAGGATAGACTTGGGTCTTCCTCAGGAAGCTTTCCCCCAGGAAAGTTCTGCTCACATACAACTCACTCCATTGCCTTTCAGATTGCCGACCAAAAACCAATAAAACCTACATCCTGGTACAGGGCAAGGTAGATGATGCTGTCTCTGAGGTTAGTTTCCAAAACCGTCTTCCCATCCAGGAGCTATTCAGGGATGGCACGTGGCTCCCTTGACCATCCAATGTATCTTCACTGGCCACCATTCTTTAATCCTTGACCATCATTCCTGCCCACGCAGTCTACCCCTGAGTCTCCAGGTAACAGATTAGAGACCAAGAAAATATTCCCTGACTCTGCTCCCCTAACTCCTCTCTGTGCAGGTAAAGCAATTTCTGTCCCAGCACAGAAACAGCGACAGCAAGTTGTCTGCCCTAGAGCCAGGCCAGAGAGCTGCAGAAATGGACGGCCCTGGGGAAGCCACGATTTCTGAAATGTTGGACCACCTGCATCTGGAGCCGGGTGTCAGACCAGTTCCTGAGAAAGGCATAAGCCTTGCTGAAAGGAGAGGAGCACGGGCAGAACCGACTGGGCATGCCACAACGGCAGTGACATCTTCAGATACGGTGGCTGGAACTCCCCACATTCCACATACTTTACCCTCCAGAGGCCCAACACACAGCCCAAACTTTACTGAGACTCCAGGTCCTCACCCCCAAAGGAATCAGGTGAGACATTGGCAAGACTAGGGTATGCCCCCTTACCAAGGAAAACTTAGGGTTGAGGGGTACACAGTGATTGATGTGCTTCTTGAATAGAAAGCCTGAGAACTCTGTGCTGTTTGCAGGGAGATCAAAGACATCGCACCACCTGGACCTCCTGGGTCCCAGGGCCAAATGCAGCAGCAGGTACCCATTCTTCACCCTCCATTGCTCTCCCCCTGCTCAACGTTTCCATCACCTTCTTCCTCAACACCTTTATATAGAATCGAGTTACCTCCGGGGCGGGGCGGGGGAGCGGGAAGATCATCCAACCCAATCTTTGTCATTTAATACATGAGGAACTGGACACCCACTAAGTGAGGATCCCACTGAGGTCACATAACAAAGCCTGGATTTGCCCCAGGATCTGCTGACTCTCCCCAGCACCAGAACCATGACCCTTCACAGTTCCCTTATTGCTAAGGCAGTTCAGAGGGTCTTCCATCGAAGACACCCAAAGAACAGGCACTGTTCCTCCTGAGCTTCTTCTATAAGACCAACTCGAGAGGTACAGCTCCACAGTCACTAGCCGGCTAAGACCCTGCATTTGCACTCCCCAGGGTGAACACAAGGTGCCGCTGCCCCTCTCCCCAAACTGCTTGTTAAACTCATCTTTCTAACCACTGAGCCCTCCCACCTCCTTTTCTCTTAAAGGGCCACCGTCTGTTACCATCACCAACTGTTCTGGAGTGCAGATTGGAAACAATAACTACATGGCAGTACCACCAAGAACTGCTTTGCCCAAGAAGGGCCCAGCACAGTGCGGCAGGGGTAGGGGCTGGTAGCCCCTCCACAATTAGATTTCAGAAAGTACCTCAAGAGCCTGGAGCCCGTAATGCAACCAGCCATTATTATAAAATTATAATGGAAATTAAAGCACTTTGTAAGCCACCTGGAATGGCTAAGACAACCATCGCCACTTCCTGTGGTCCACAATACTCTTTGAGAGCATTAAGTCCTACACCCAAACTGACTTTTGACCTATGTCCCAAAAGTCAATAAATACAATGTTAATTGTGAGTGAGTCTGAGGTGTCAATCAGGGAGCAGGGATGGAGAGCCAGGAGGAGCTGGCTACCCGGAAGAAGGAGATGGTGCTGCCGCCTGGCGGAGGCAGGAAGAGGGGCCCTGGGGACTAGTTATGGGCAACCTCTCGGCATATAAGGTCAGGGTCCAGCTGGTGGCAGGAAGGGATAGCAGAGCCTTGGCTCTCTGGTACTCCAATCACAGGGTGGAGCCCTTCCTCCAGCGCTCCGGACTGACGCCACCCTAAGCCTGACCTGACAGGATAGAAGTGTGGCCTCGCCACTCCCCATTTCTCCTTGATTTTGAGCACTGGGCTTTGGGGTCCTGGCAAAGGAGGGTGTCTCGAGAAATTCAAAGGTGCCCCACGCTCTCTAGACCATCCATCCTCCCACGGCACAGACTTCATGCACTTTGCGTTCTAGGCATGGGAGTATTTTTGATTCTCTGCGTCCAAAAGTTGGTAACTATGTCCAGCAAAGAGAAGCACCAACCCAAGGAGCTAGAGATGGCTGGAGTTTGGATAGTTCACACTTGGCCACACCTGGGGGACCAAACGTGGAAGGGAAATGCCACACCTGTCCTCACCCGCACCCCAGCCCCAGCTGGTATCAGGACAGCCCTCCTCCCAGCGATCTCCCAGGCATCACTTCCAGCCTTCCCAGCCTCTCCATTTCCACATACTGTGTCTTTATCTTGATACATCCCTCTCGGTCCTCCCCATCACCTCGTGTTTCTCCCACAGCCCACCTGCTCTTCATTGAAGGAAGAGGGGAGGTGGTGGTTAGAGCACACAATCTGAGCATGGGAAGCAGCCAGGGTAGTCCGCCTAGGCACGGGAAGGGGCCGGACTCTATCTGGGGAAGTGGGAGGGGGCCTTGGCGCCAGAGGGAAGCGCCGGTTACCCTCGGCCCTGAGCCACTAGCAAAGCCGCGAGGGTGCGTGGCAGCCTGCCTACCCAGGCTCCCTCCGGGGGCCCAGCTTTGCTGAGAGGGCTTCGGGAGCTTGACACAAAGCAGTGAGTTGATGGGTAGAGGGAGATTCTGGGGCCCCTTCTCATCAGATCCGACTCCTGTCCCTCTGGTGAGATTTTTTTGCTAGGGCACTACCACGGTCGGGTTTGTGGGAAGGATCGAGAAGTCCTGTCACATCCAGCTGGGACCCCTTTGAGAGAGCGCCTGGCAGGGAACCCTACTGCTTCGGAAAGCTTAGAGGCTTGGGTCAGAGTGGCGCCAGGAGAGGAAGAAAAGCGCAGTGGTGCAAGCCGGCTTGTTAACTCAGTGCCCTGCCGTCCCCAGGGCAGGGGCTCCGGGCTGGGGCGGGGGAGACCATGGCCCGTCTCTTCGGTCCCCGGCCGCCCCCCAGCGAAGATCTCTTCTACGAGACCTACTACAGCCTGAGCCAACAGTACCCACTGCTACTGCTGCTCCTGGTCATCGTGCTGTGCACGCTCGTGGCACTACCAGCCGTCGCCTGGGCCAGCGGCAGGGTGAGATGGGCTAAGTGCGGGAGTCTGCTCTAGGCAGGGGCTGCCTCGGGCTGGGGATATTTGAAGGACTGGGATTTGCGGGGGTCTCTTAGTTAGTAATGTCTTTGCTGGGAACCGGAAAAGAAGCATTGAACCTCATCATGAATTGTTGTGACTCTGAGCACATGTGACCAAGCCCTGGTCTCTCTATGCTTGTTCTCTGGGTCTATACTGGGAGGGGAGTGAGATCCGGATGCACCTCACTATGTTCTGCTGGTTCTACGGTAAATCCAACACCGGATTTTCCAGCTCTCCAGAGAGGAAACTCTACTCATGTCCCTGGGGGAATTCATTTCCTGACTTTTTCTCTCCTGTTTAGGGAATGTGGGGCTGTTAACTGTGCCCCCAGACTTCCAAAAGACAGTTTTCATCCACTGTGATTTAGTTGCCCTCCTCTCCCAAAAAAAAAAAAAAAAAAAAAAAAAAAATTCACTTTCATGTTGGGCAGGAAGGGGGTCTTCAATCCCAAATCTAGAAATATTCTGCTCCGGGTTTTCCTTCCACTCTTTGGAGGCAAGGTGAGAAAAAGGACTGAGCACCGTTAATCCTTGTCTCCGCCAAGTCCAGAAAGAGGTGGGAACAAAGGGAAGGGATAGTAATGGGACTTCTAGGCTAGAGGAAAGGCAGGTATCCAGATCTCAGCACTCAGGTAGGTGGCAAGGAACGGCACAAAGTTGGGCTGCCTGGGTAAACATTTGTGAAGTTCAGCGCCATGGTTTCAGAGGGGAGGATTCTCCTCAGCAAGTTAGCCATTTGCGGGACATTCACTCCGAATGCCAACCACGCACGTGCTACAGTTCCCCTTTAACAGATAAACTGTGGGAATAGCCAGGCAAATCTGGAATCCCAGCACTGGGGAGATACAGGGAGTTGGTGGCCAGTCCAAGTTCATGAGACCCCGCCTCAAAACTGAAAGAAGAAACAAACTGAGATTCAGAAAGAGGGTGGGAGGTATTAGGTTGACCCATGTGAGACTGATGAACTTCGTGGGTGACACCGGTGGAGTTTCAGCAGGTTCTTAGGGGTCGACCTGATGCTGGTCTGCTGTTTTCTTTCATTTATTTAGTTGGTTTTGGGTTTTTTTGGGTTGTTTTGTTTTTGTTTTTGTTTTTGTTTTGTGTGTGTGTGTGTGTGTGTGTGTGTGTGTGTGTGTGTGTGTGTTGTACATGAGTGCACACGTGTGGAGGTCAAAAGACAACTCAAAGGAATGAGTTCTCTTCTCTCACCATGTGGATTCTGGGAATCAAACCAGATCACCAGGCTTGGTGGCAAGCACCCCGACCCACTGTGCCATCTCACCAGCCCTATTTTCTTTTTTGCGCCTGTGTTTACGACATTTTACAGAACTGAACTGGACGGCATCTAACTTGCTCCCTCTCACCTTGCAAAAAACGCCCAAGTACCTCGTCTCAGACTTGCTTCCTACATCCTTTCCCCACAGGAACTGACCTCAGACCCAAGCTTCCTGACAACCGTGCTGTGTGCTTTGGGTGGCTTCTCTCTGCTCCTGGGGCTGGCTTCCCGGGAACAGCAACTGCAGCGCTGGACACGACCTCTTTCTGGCCTCATCTGGGCCGCGCTGCTGGCTCTGGGCCATGGATTCCTGTTCACTGGGGGTGTGGTGAGCGCCTGGGACCAGGTGAGGTGACAGCCAAGGGGCCAGAGAATGGGGACCTCGAAGTCAGGCCCTGTGCGGCGGCGAAGCCCGGGCCTTCAGCTTACCACCCCCCTCCTCCAGGTATCTTTTTTCCTCTTCATCATCTTCACCGTGTACGCCATGCTGCCCTTGGGCATGCGGGATGCTGCTGTTGCAGGCCTCACCTCGTCACTCTCACATCTGCTGGTCCTTGGACTGTACCTTGGGTGGCAGCCTGACTCACAGAGGGCTCTGCTACCACAGGTGAAAATGCAATAATAACCGGGTGGTGGCACATGCCTTTAATCCCAGCACTCGGGAGGTAGAGGCAGCCTGGTCTACAAAGTGAGTTCCCGGATAGCCAGGCTTGTTACACAGAGAAACCTTGTCTTGAAAAAAACAAAAACAAAAAACAAGAGTGCCGGTAATGTTCCACAGCTGGCTCAGCTGCTCGAGAAAGATCCTCTGAGCATTTGCTGAGCTGGGACTCCAAAGCAGGGCTCAAGCCTGAATGCAGGAACCAACGCAGATAAAGCCCTATAGTGACCTCTTGGAGCTGGTACGTCAGTGCATCATGCCTGCCTTTACCAGAAGAGGGCCCTATAGCCTCGGGGGAAATCAGCCATTATTCTCTCCTGGGTACAGAAGTAAAAAGTGGAAAATGTGATTAGAACTTGAGTAGTGTCTTGCAGGTGGAATGGGCTCAGGAGGTGAACGTGGTGGGATAGTGTTCTCGGAGGGGAAATAAACACGCAAGACATCTATCTAGACCTAAGTGGCCAGGTTAGCCCAGCAGCCAAGACTCTACAGCAGAGAGCATAGAGGAGGAAAGGGACCAGCTCTCTCCCGTGGATGTCATAGTGTGACACCAATTGTCCTGAGATACTTAGGTCCCTCACTGGAGAGCCAGGCTCTCCTCATCCTGTTCTTAGAGCCAACTTGAGCTACCCAGGTAGACTCTCGCAGCCCCACCGGGTGGTGTACTTTCCAAGCCTGGCCTTTACCCACAGTTGGCAGCAAACGCAGTGTTGTTCCTGTGTGGAAACGTGGTGGGAGCATACCACAAGGCCTTGATGGAGCGAGCACTGCGTGCCACGTTCCGGGAGGCCCTCAGATCGCTGCACTCACGCCGGAGGCTGGACACTGAGAAAAAGCATCAGGTCAGTAGGACCTATGAGGCAGGAAAAGGACAATGGCTCAGAAAGAGCAGCTTTTTAGCACCTTCGTGTGGAGTGGGTGTGGGTAATCTGTCTGCCTTTCTCAAGTATTTCCTCTTATATGAAATGTGACGACCGCCCACCCCTGGGAGATTGTTGCCAGATTCAAATTGAAGCCCAGTGAGATAGCTGAGGGTAAGACCCTTGCTGCACAAGCCTGAAGATGTGAGTTCAATTCCTGGAACCTAAGTAAAGGTAGATGGAGATAACTGACTCCACAAAGCTGTCTTCTGGCCTCCACCCACACATTGTGACACATAAATAAAATTAAATTTTAGCAGATATGGTGGTGCACACCTTTAATCCCTGCTCTTGGGAGGCAAAGGCAGACATATATCTGTGAATTCGAGGCCACCCTGGTTTAGATAGTGAGTTCCAGGCCAGCCAGGGGTACATAGTAGGATACTGTCTCAAAATAATAATAATAAATGATGATGATGATGATGATGATGATGATGATGATGCACATGATGAAAATTATTAAAGGAAGATTTCAAATTTAGGTGTTGATACTGAGTCCAGTCCCTAAGTGGCCAGGACAGAACAGGGTGATAGAGTCCTGCTGGACAGACTGGAAATGTTGGGGACCATACTAGGGGGTAGATGTAATGTGCGGG